CCATCTGGCCATGCCGGGGCCTTTATCCTTATAGTTGTATTTCCTTTTCTATGAAATTTTTGTGTAAGTTTTATTTGTTTTTCTTTGTTTTGTTTCACAACATATTTCGGACCTCGTTCCGTTTGACCTGTGATGACACGGAAATTCCTGTAGGCCTTTTTTTATCCGCATCCTTGCTCATAATTTCGCATTCTCTAAATTTCCTGTTAAGCCTATACCAACTATTAAATATTCGATCCAAACTGAACTCATTGTTTTTTTTTTCAAATATTAAAATAGTTTTTCTGGTGAGGATCGGACTTGATATATCATTAAGAACTATTCAGTTATCTATTATAGCAAAAATTTGTTTTCTAATTTCAAAATCTGGTTGTTTTTCTTGTGTTTGGAAATAAACCAACATCATAACTATTCTTAATCCTAATAACACCAGAAATAACGCTTTCAGTTGTCAGGTATAGTGGGAGCATTCTCGAACGCATAATAGAATAACAACATTGCCAGTAATTACAAAAGCTGTTTAAGGAAAACCAAAACCCAAATCACTGAGCTACAGACTTTTTGACCAGATTTATTGAATTATTTAGAAAATGAATAACTGGCTGCTTATTGTCTTCTAGAGCTTTAGGGTGTGGCTTCGTGATTTGATTAATCTATGATTTTAAGTTTCATTTTAATTTTTATTGGGTGAATTTATAACTCTGTTACGGTTTGTTCTGACTGTCGTGCACCAACTAAAGATGCCTCGTAATGATCTCTTAATCATTACTTTCCTATCTATATGCTAATTTCCACTCTCAGTATTAACTTCTTTCAATCATATACTCAGAATACTCATAGCTTCATTGAATTTCTTCTAGTTCAAAACCTTCAGCTTCGAAGACACCTTTTGAGGTAATCCAAATCCCCCTAAAACACAGTTTATAACATTTCTTGGTAAAGTTTGTTTGCAAAGAATAACAAGATGTATTTTAAATCCCATCATCAAGTTTTCCAAATAATAAATACAGAATATTAATTACATTTTTTATCTGAATATAACTTGTGATGATTTGGCAACTATAATTAAACAATGCGAAATAAAATACGATTAACATATTTAATGACAATATCTTTTCAGTAATTATTTGTGGAGTTAAAAAAAAACATTGTCAACGATTCAATCTGTGATAGATAAATTTAGATGTGACGAAGTGTCCACGATGATGGTTGTATGGCCAAAAGATTGGTCGTTCTTATATTGTTTAAATCATTTTCAGATTATTTCATTGTTGTAGCTGCATTATTGTTGTTATTTACTATAACACGGTATTAATCACTCAGAAAATAATACAGTAGTTCTCCAGCTCCTAACGCCAATGGTCAACGAACTTGACCAAATGTGTTCTCCAATGAGGGGATTTTTCCCGGTAACTATACTCTAGTGAATATCCAACTATTTTCTGTTGGAAAATAACCATTAAGACCAAAGTAGGAGAGAAACTAAAGTTTTGATGCCCTTAGTGCTGAAAGTAAGGTGAGAGTGGGTCAGTGTGAGTAGAGATCAAGCTCTATTAAATGTTGGTATAAAATTAGTGATAACTTCACTTTTCTAGTGAAACGTTAGTGTTGAGTTAGTTATAACTTCACTTTTCTAGTGAAATGTTAGTGTTGAGTTAGTTATAACTTCACTTTTCTAGTGAAATGTTGGTGTAAAGTTAGTGATAACTTCACTTTTCTAGTGAAATGTTGGTGTAAAGTTAGTGATAACTTCACTTTTCTAGTGAAACGTTAGTGTTGAGTTAGTTATAACTTCACTTTTCTAGTGAAATGTTGGTGTAAAGTTAGTTAGTGTTGAGTTAGTTATAACTTCACTTTTCTAGTGAAACGTTGGTGTTAAGTTAGTGATAACTTCACTTTTCTAGTGAAACGTTGGTGTTGAGTTAGTTATAACTTCACTTTTCTAGTGAAATGTTGGTGTAAAGTTAGTGATAACTTCACTTTTCTAGTGAAACGTTAGTGTTGAGTTAGTTATAACTTCACTTTTCTAGTGAAATGTTGGTGTAAAGTTAGTGATAACTTCACTTTTCTAGTGAAACGTTGGTGTTGAGTTAGTGATAACTTCACTTTTCTAGTGAAATGTTGGTGTAAAGTTAGTGATAACTTCACTTTTCTAGTGAAACGTTAGTGTTGAGTTAGTTATAACTTCACTTTTCTAGTGAAACGTTAGTGTTAAGTTAGTGATAACTTCACTTTTCTAGTGAAACGTTAATGTTAAGTTACCGAGCACTATACTTCACATTTGTTCTTACATCTTCAAATGTTAATGACTGAAGTAAAATACATTCCTTCGAATACAGACATCGTAAGATGGAAAGTTAAAGTTATACATATGTGTATAATTATTCATATTTTCAAATAGCAAATATTAACATAATGTACAATTCCTGTTTATAAAAAATAGACTTATGTGCTTATTTTGTGCATATGTTTCTGTTCCGATCTCAGTTGAAAGATAAGTGTAAATGGAGAAATGACTTACGTCTTGTAGTGTTCAAATTTTGTCTTTTTTTATCTTATAAGTTAACGAAATTTAATTTAATTTAATTTTTAATGAATTTAAGTATTTCCAGATCACATTAATGTGGTCATTATAATTACTGCCTGGTTAATGTTAACCATAATGTTAATGTTATTCTGCAATTAACGTTGTATAAAAATTAATGAAAACGAAGACGACAAAGAAATCTGATTTTTTTTTTAGATCTTCTATGGAGTTTTTTTTTCTTCTTCTTATTTTGTACGCTGGAAAACGTTCACTATATCCTGATATATTTACATTCTTTAGTGACTTTTGCCTGGTTGCATATTCAAGGTTCGATCCAAGCATTATGCTCGATAAGTTCCACATTTTTTTAGTTGTGGGAATGTTATAACCGTGGAGCCAATTCCACAATTCAGTTAAGAGAAGCCATGTAGGCGAGAGTGATGCTGATTGGTTGACCTATCTCTTCTTGTTCAAAATAGGGACGGCCATATCTGAAACTTTGAGCCTGGAATGTTGGTGTTTCTGACCGCTTTGCCCATGTTGTAGCATGTAATCTTCTTCCAAATTTTTCAAAATTGTTCATTAGCAGATAAATTCGTTAGATTAATTAGAGGTAAAGCGTCCATTTCTTTTTTTTTCAGATACATTCTGTGTTATTAGTTGATCGATTCAGAATAAAGATCGATTTCCAAGCATAATTTGAAAGGCCCCGGCATGGCCAGGTGGTTGGGGCGTTCGACTCCCAATCTGAGGGTCGCGGGTTCGAATCCTCGTCACGACAAATATGCTCGCCCTTTCAGGCGTGGTCAATAGTAGTTAATCCCACTATTCGTTGGTAAAAGAGTAGCCCAAGAGTTGGCGGTGGATGGTGATGACTAGCTGCCTTCCCTCTAGTCTTACACTGCTAAATTATGGACGGCTAGCGCAGATAGCTCTCGTGTAGCTTTGCGCGAAATTCCGAAAGAAAACAAACAAAGCATAATTTGGTCGTATTGGATAATTTAATAAAATCTTTTATGTATTGGTGCATAGTTTAGAATATTTTACATAAAAAAGGATCCTGCATCCATTTTATGACTGGTGTCTTCTCTAAAGACATGACAATGATGGTTTATAACCTGTTCTAAAATCAAAAACCTTTGAACCCGAGGCGAGAACCCTTAGATGGGGACGTGGAGAACAAGTTCTTTATCTAATGGTTGAAAACGTGGACTGAAAACGACAGTTATAGATTTTGATTTGTGTGGTCGTTATTTGACGGTGACGTTCTTTTTTTCGCTTCAGCTTGAAGGCATTTAAAATCCGTGAAGAGAATGAATGTTCGATTCTAAAGTAGAGGAAGATAAAAAGACTGTAGAAACCTGTGTTATTGATTTTTGGGCTTTCAAAGTACCTGTACCAAGTGTCTCTTGAAACCTAAAGAACGATAATCTAAGTTTAATGTGATACTGTTCTTAGTGTAGGTTGAATGTTAAATGAAACCCATAGATCGATTGGTAAAGTTAGACGCTCTTAAACCAATAATTTATGTTTTAAATCTATAAGTTTTATCTCATGTTCTTCAAAGGTAAATTAGTGTCTTAAGAAACTTCCCATCTTGATGTTTTTTGTTTTTCTGCTGAATGTTAAATCTCTAATTATTGTAAACCAGGAAAAAACAAGAAAATATTTCCAAATTCGTTACAGCTTTCCATAGATTCTGTTTGCTAATTTTACTAAGTCTTCAAAAATCACACAAAATCATTTTACCACATCAGATATTTCTATGAATTATTTATTAATTCTTCAAAATGAAGAGTAAACTGAAATAAAAATCTGAATTGATACAAAGTTTCTATATATATACTTACGTTTAACAAGTCAAATATTTGTCAGTCACTAACAGCATTTGCAGTTTTTCCTTTGTTTGTTTTTAAATATACCACGCAATTAACTTTCAAACATTTTTATGAAAATATAATAACCTTGCTTGCAAATAGAGAAATATTACAGAGTTATTCGTTTTTTTGTAACAAAAGCAAGCCATACCTGTAGCAGTCCAATAAATGGGTTAACTGAATGTTTTAATATGTAGGCAAACAACGATTTATGAGCATAAGGTATAATTTTATTGATGGTGGAATATCTACATTGGTCCGTTTTGTTCAGATATGATCAGTAACAAACAATAGTAAAGACCATAACTAAAGAAGACATACCACATCTGACCAATGTTCTGTCGAAACATGTAGTATGTTCCACCATCAATAAAATAATTACTTATGCTCGTTGTTTGCCTACCTATTATTATATTAGCATAATGTGATTCCTTACTCAAGTATCAAGTATTTTCTTCTTATAGATAATTTAGAAAAAAATGTCAACTGAATGTTTATATAAAAATATTTCATATTTATAGATAGTTTAGAAAAAATTTTAACTGAATGTTTGTATAAAAATATTTCATATTTATAGATAGTTTAGGAAATAGGTTAACTGAGTGTTTGTATAAAAATATTTTATATTTATAGATAGTTTAGAAAAAATTTTAACTGAATGTTTATATAAAAATATTTTATATTTATAGATAGTCTAGAAAAATAGGCTAACTGAATGTTTGTATAAAAATATTTTATATTTATAGATAGTCTAGAAAAATAGGCTAACTGAATGTTTGTATAAAAATATTTTATATTTATAGATAGTCTACTATAAAATTGTTATAGAGTTTATTTATTTGAAAATAAGATTTCGAACATATAAAATGACTGTTTTATAAAAGTACTGTATGTTTATGATATTCAGACCTTCAGATTGAGAAAGTCTGATATTCTTAAATGCAAAAGTAAATGTGCACACTACATTTCAAAATTTATCTGCAAGATAAAGAACAAAATGACCTGGTCTTGTCGCGAAAAGGAACATCCGCGGAAACCCTAGAAAAATCTACACCCATGAATTACTAGTAGTCCTGATGAAAATATAATTATGAAGATAACAGGGTCTTAATTCAGTAGAAGCTTTAATATTTATATGAATCACATACGCTTTATGACTAACGGAGTTCGGTATCTTTAAAATGGCATACAGCATATATCTTATGATTAATCGTACGTCGCAGCTTTAGTATGATATATTGTTATTAGAAAATGCTGATATCATTCTTACGTCTGCTACTTATTTTACACCTTGACTAGTTTAATTTACTACTTGATATAGATATACTTAATGGACTTACGTCGACATGTTTGTGTGAAAAAGTTTGTTTGTTTGTTTTTTGAATTTCGCATAAAGTCTAC